GGCGGTAACCTGCTACACGAAAGTATTAAAAAGGTGAGAGGGAAAAAGGACATGTCATTGTCAGGTTTGAGCCGTGAATGAATCTTGACCACTGTGTGGTGAACCGATTTAAATACGAGCAACCCGGACAGATGCCCCATGGTGATTTTGATGGTGCCTATCTTGCTAGCATACACCTGACGTTGAATGTCATTGAGGTAAAGCAACTGCAGCAACAGAAACGACAATAGGATCGATGGTAATGATAATAGGAGTAATCGACAGCGACAGCCATGACGATGTTGAACACGAATAAGAAAAAAAGTAGAAATTAGTTTCTCTGGCACAGGAAAGGTAGGGAGTCTCATGTGTTCTATTGCTCAACTAGTGAAAACTTCGGTGTGAGACTGGCCTGGATGACCTGACGTTCTGAACCCTGGCCTACCCTTAGGTGAGTCCTGTGAATGCGATTTGTATACTGGATACATTAGAGCTCTAGTGATGGTGGCAAGCAAGTGTGTTTACAACCGGAACAGGATGGCTGGGAGCCAGACTGGTGGAGCGGGGGCCCAGACTGAGGACGGTGAAGGGGACGGTGAAGAGGGGGACCTGGTCGAGATTGGAAAAGCAACAATAAGCATGCTGGAGAGGGAAGGAAGGCCAGGTTCGATAAAGTGGGCTACGAAGCAAATCTCTCAGAACGTTGACACTATTTCGAACCTCCAAAGACTCGTGTTCGGTCTACTAGCTGCGTGGAAATAACTGCCGAGTTGATTCTGCGATTCCTAAACGTCTACGTTACCAAATATGCCGTAAGGATTGGCCACTTCCCGCTCCAAAAGCCTCAGGGGACTGCACCAGAACATGGAATGGTTCAAAGAAGACTTGAAAGAGGTACGATCCCTGGTGATACAAGAGGGGCATACTCAAGACTATGTAGAACATTCTGCTACGGTCGTGCAACTCCCGTTGTCTACAGCCGACGCCCCTCCTCCGGCGGTTTCTTTTCTAAAGACCATCGCCGTACCTCTGAGCGTACTTGCCGACGCAAGAGGACTCAAAGGCGACGCGGCAGCAAAAGCAATGAGACTTAGGCACAGACAAAAGAAAATGTGACCTGAACAAGGCGCTTAGGTGAGAGTCGCCCTTCGCGGGATGGTTGATGGGGGTTTCAGGGTCACCGTCCAATACAAACATTGCCCTCATCGTCTTGCATAAGACGGCTAGAAAGCAATATATTTGTCGTGCTGAGTCTGTGTGACATACTCGGAGTTGGTATCATGACTTTGATCCAGGTCCTTCGGCGAACCCGATACCGACTGAGACGGGGGTCACGGGGTATCTTCAAACGGCCGAAAGGAATCCGCTCTGGCGAAAGGAATCCAACGAACGATCCCCTCCAACACGGTTCGTAGAGTTCGCCGGTGAAACTGGACTGGCCTAGCCTGGTTGCTTTGGAAAGTTGGCTCTGTGGCTGACGCGAAACTACACTAGAGACAATACCTCGTCATTCAGGATGTAACATGCTCATCCCTCAACTTAGAGCCTTTCTATTCTGTCGTCAAGGGCAAAGGATTCTATCGCATCTCTGAAGAAACATGCGCGACATGGGTGATGACGTAAACTCTTATTATCCTTGAGACTGCCTGCCTGACTCTAGGCAGAGCGTTCTTTGTACTATTGCGATCTTGACACGGGCGATATTGGCCCGACGATAACTGCTTCTTTGCGCTTCCTGTGTCTCTTCTACCAAAGCCGTAGCCGTATTCATTTCCCTAACCAACTCCGAAATCATAGGACAAGTCTTCATTTTTCTCGACCGCCTCCCCAGCGAGCCGAGTCGTGCGTGATCGTACGGGGGATATATTTAGTTGATGAGCATGGAGACCTGTTCTCCTCATCCGTTAGTCGAGTCCAAAGGGCAGAAATGTCGGGGAAGAGGGAGACTTGCCGCCATGACGACACAGCATAAGCTGATGTACGGACTTAAACGCTCGCCTACCCTGGCGAATTTCCAAAAGATGCCCATGAAGCTACCGAACGATCAGCATTCTCGTCATGCAGCGTGTGTTCTGTGCCGGGTCTCGTTCTTACCCGTCCTTGTTTCGGTCCATCATGGCGGGTATGAGCTGGTGGATGTATGCGCATGTGCAGACGAGCAGGAGGATGACGAGGAGGAGAGACTGGAAGTTGAAGAGGGCGGTCTGGCGGGGCTTGTTAGCATTCTTCGGACTTGTTTGTTGGATGCGACTGCGACTCACCATGTTTGCGACTTTTGTCCCTCTGCGCGGGAACTGGCGACGTGGTTGACCTGGATGCAAATGGATGAAGGTCGCGATATTAGAGCCCAGGGGTGCGGTACGCTTCAGCCTCTGTCTGTACAGTGGACAAGGTGGCCCGGAGTTTTACTGAGCCACACGTGGCTCGAGCTCTACCTAGCTCTGAGGCAGCACTGAGGCAGGTACTTTGGCGCCACCCCCACAGTGCAAGCTGTGGAAACTGAGGCTGAAGCTGCTTGCCCTGTGCGTTGCGCAGTCTGTCACCGTGAATTCTCCATCTGGAGTTCGTCCTACCTCCACCAATTTCATCCTCACGATTCAACCTCCACCTCCTCCACCTCACTGCTCGCGCCGTCAACACGAGCAAACCATTCGAAACAATCAAAAACCAGCGTTACTCTATACTAGGCTCAAGCGATCCATCAAGCAGCGCGCACCGATCACTCACGACTGCCCATCATGGAGCCTCGCGCCCGCGCTGCCAAAAATGTTGGCAAGATGAACTTTAGCCACAACGAGCGTACGCACATTTCCGTGCGAATTTCCTCACAGCAAAATCCCTAAGCTAATTCGACTGCTCCTTCCTAGTGGCTCAGCTGCTCTACGCCCATGGCGACGTGCGCAACCCCCTTCCCGAGACCATCCGCGTCCTCGACGAGATCGTGACCGAGTTCATCCAAGGCATGGCCTTCGAGGCCACCCGAGCTGCCAACTACGCAGGCCGGCAGAAGGTCAAATACGAAGATTTCGAGTTCGCTTTCCGAAAGAACGACGCGTTTCTCGGCAAGGTGCAGGAGGTCTTTGAGAAGAAGGGCGAGATCGACTCAGCGAAGAAGATCTTCACAAAGGACGACGAGGCCGTTCTCATGAAGGACGCAGCGGACCAGGAGGGGGGCAAACAGTCAAAAGACAAGGCCGTGAACGGGCAGGGCGATGCCGCGAGCTCTGCTGCCGATGCTGCTGCGAAGCAGGAGGAGGAGCTGGGCGAGGCAGACGACGACGCCGATGCTGAAAGTGAGATTGCGGGACGACCAGCCAAGAGGGTCAGGCTCGATGGCGACGCAAAGTGAGAGTTGGGGGTGGCACGGCGATTTTGTTGTTGGGCACGGTGCATAGCGACTGGCGTTTTGGATCAACGGCCTCGTATTGGCTCAGATGGCATTTCTGACGACACATGGGCGGAGGCATAGGCACATCAAGCATGGCATAATTAATAATTTTTGGGACTTTGAGCAGTGCGCATCAAATCATCGATCAAGCAGGCCGAGTTTGACATGACGCCGTTGAAACTTTTTCGGCACAATGGAACGAGATCTGAGCTGGTTTCCACTTTTGACCAGGGTGTATCACGATCTTTGACTTGGGGAAAAGTGGCCGAACCCCGCCGACCTTAATTCGACATGCCACAGCCGTCATACCCTCGCATAGCATTACAACAAACAAATCGAAGAAGCAGACGCGAGGTCTCTTCGTGCGCACAATAAGGTTCAGCCGCCTTCTTAGTACAACCATGTCATGCATGTGTTGGACTGCAACCGCAAGGTAGAGCGGTGCGGCCTTTTGCCCGTTTCCCGAATCGGCACCGGAGCCGCTGCTGTCGGTAGAAGCTTCACGCGGGACCTCGCCGAGAAAGTGGATTACCTCCCACAGCACGCGACACCCCGGCCCCTAGGAAGCCCAAGGCTCCAAGGTAGGTAGCTGTTTGTTCCACGGTCTACTGGGTTGCATGCCGCACACTAGCTGGCGATATCGGGGAAAAGGGAGGGAGGGGCGAGACCTTGGCGGCAGGTGACGATGCAGCTCTGCTGTCGCATCACACTCTCTGTTTCTCGTCTCGACGGCGCCTCAGCGCCTCAGCGGAAACAAAAGGTCTAGCCGCGGGCCTTCCTTCTGCAGGCTATGGTATATGTTTGGACATCTCAGAAGGAGCCGGTAAGTCTAGGTCAAGCTAGTGGTGTTGGTTGGCTCCATTATCTCTCCGCGCAGGCGCAGAAGCCAAAACAAGTGGTTGGCAGTGGATGACCACCCTCGAGAATCTCTACCTTACCACGCCTACCTATCGACTCCACCTGAATAGGCACTCCTGCATTCGTTGCTTCGGACTGCTGGTGACTCGTCCATTGCCTCTCTCACCCATCCCATTCTCTCCCACACAGCCCTGTCCGCCCGACCTAGTGATCCACCACACTAAGGCAGACGGCAGCAAGATGCGCAAGGGTGGTGGGTTTGAGGGGTGGCACACCGCACGCAATAGGCCGCACGTATTTCGTCCTTTTCTTGCCCTCCCGGCCTCCCGGCCCTTGGCCTTGGGAAAGACCCCGACTGACTGACTGACTGCCTGACTGATTGAACCGACAACCGACTGAAGGTGACTGACAGACCCATTCATTACTCCAGCCTCCCCACTTCCGATGAACGATGGGTCGTCCTCTCTTTGATTCTTGACTACACCCCGCTTCCAGCTGTGTTTGAAATCTCTTCGTGATCTTTTCTCCTCGAGATATCACTCCGTTTTCAGAGTTGAAACGTCTAGTCCCTCCTCCTGGCCTGCTTCACTTCACTACCCCACCGCGCCACCAGGAACCTCTTTGTACTCTACGCGGCCTCGACTTCAAGACATGACTTCATCTAGCCGTCATGTCTGGCCCGAAGAAAAATGATGATCACTATGTCCCTCAAAACCCCAGGGTGAAGACACAACTCGAAGATTCTGAACAAGACACCTATGGATCATTTGACAGAATGTCGACAGACAGCAAATTATCTTGGTCGCAAGACCACGGAAAGGGCCTCGACCTGCCCGACCCCGAATCTTTCCGATCATTCTCAACAAGTCCTTTTCAGAATGGGAGAGCCTCGCCGTTGTTGGGTGGATCAGAGTTCCCTACGATACCGCAGACACCACCGACGCAGGGGAAGCTATGGCGGTTCTGGGTCATGAACAAGGGCGTCGTCTTGGTGGCTCTCTCGCAGCTGTTTGGTGCTCTGATGAACCTCACAGCGCGGCTGCTTGAGCTTGAGGGAGAGGGGATGCATCCACTTCAAGTCTTGTTTGCCCGGCAGAGTGTGACCATGGTCTGCTGCTGCGCTTACATGTACTGGATGAAGACGCCAGATTTTCCGTTTGGAAAAAAGGAGGTCAGATGGCTTCTCATCGCCAGAGGAGTGAGTGGGTTCTTTGGCATCTTTGGCATGTGGTACTCGATGATGTACCTCCCTCTTGCCGAAGCCACAGTCATCACGTTCCTGGCTCCCAGCGTTGCGGGTTACGTCTGTTACATCGCGCTGCGCGAACCGTTCACTAGAGCTGAGCAGATAGGAACTGTTATAGCCTTCTTCGGCGTTGTTCTCATTGCTCACCCGGCGTCCCTCTTCACCGGCGATTCGACTTCCTCGGCCGCTGCCACCGCGCCCGAGGATTACAATGTCACGAACGGCACCGTGTCATCGACCACCCTGCCCGGCCTCAACCATCGGGCCACGACGGCAGAACGCTTGACAGCCATCGGCGTCGCCATACTCGGGGTCTTTGGCGCCGCTGGAGCTTTCACGACCATCAGGTGGATAGGCAAGCGTGCGCACCCGCTTATATCCGTCAACTACTTTGCGACGTGGTGCACGATCGTATGTGCCGTCGTCCTCACGATTGCGCCGCTTCTCGAGTTTGAGCAGCCGGCTCTGCGGTTCGCGCTGCCCCACTCAGGACGGCAGTGGCTGTTCATGGTGTTGCTCGGTGTGTTTGGATTCATCATGCAGTTCCTTCTTACCGCGGGACTGGGTATGGATCGCTCAAACAGGGCCAACGCCATGGTCTACACGCACATGCTCTTCGCGGCAGGGTTTGACCGTTTCATCTTTGGCAACGTCATGGGGTGGATGAGTTTGGCGGGATGTGGGCTCATCATCGGGAGCGCGCTTTGGGTTGTCCTGATGAAGAGCCCACCGCCACCTAGAAGTGAGGTTATGGTGGACGTTGAGGTCGCGAATGTCAGGGATACCGAGGCCGTACCGATGCTGGCGGATATAGACGGGGGTAGAGATGAAGATCTAGAACCGGACAGGGCACGATAATACCATGATGAATATATGACATGGAATGGGGCTGCTTGGAAATGATATGTGGTTAACGAGAAACATGGGCATTGGTTACCCATAGAGAGGTTGTGCATGCTACCTACCCTCTCATGACTGAGAAACGGAGTATCGCAGAAATTCAGGCTTGCATGAATGAACATTTTCAATATATCTGGGCATTTGAGTCCGATCACCAAGAGTGGCACTGTTTTCCAGTGATATTAGATGCCTTAATCGAGCCTGTTCTTTATACTGTTAGAGAGGAGAGAAGTAGTCCAAATTTCCTCTTTCAAGGGGGTGCTGAAGAAGCAGGATTCGACAATGCATCGCGAACTGTTCACTTTGCGCTTACGGGCTATAAGTGAAGGCGAAAAAGCTATATGCAGAACCTAGGCACCTCGACGTCTCGAACGACATATTTTTACCTGTAAAACAACGCATAATGGCTCAACCGAGTTATACCTCGATACCTATCGGAAAACTCGTTGAGCCGTGATGACTTGCTGAGCTTCGATCACCACCACAGACTGACGTATCCAGTCCCCATGAGCAACGTCATATGCCATGATGTCAGGTCGTCAACCGATCAAGGGACACAAACGTGGTGTCAAGCACGGAATAGGGGTCCTTTCCTAAGTGCAGCCCCTGGAATTCCAGGCGCGCGCGTTTGCGCCGGCGGGTACCTAAAAAGGACCACGATGAGACAGTCTCAACATTCCCGAACGCGGGAAGAGTACACAGAGGAAATTATGATTTGAATCATGTTTCCACAAGAATACACGCTTGGTGACAAGTATGGTGCGACCTTGGATTCTCGAGAGAAGAATGCAAGACAGTGGACGACACGCTGTGTAACAATAGACGCCGTTTCGCCCTGATGATCAAGATCCAGGTGCCTACAATAGGTCATCATGGGCCCTCGGCGGAAGAACCCAAACGCTAGGCGAGATGAGAAGAGATGGGTTTCCTTCCGTGACTTCAGTGCATCCGACCTAACTCCCTTCACCGGATAAGGTCTCGGGTCCGGGTAGTGATGAATGCCCGTGAGGTAGACATTTTCTAAGGTTTCCTACCCGTGAAGGGAGAGAAATTGACAGCTCTGCACTGAAATTGGCTGAATCGGAATTGAATGCTTAATCCAGACGGGTTGATGGGTAACATGTAGTTGGATGTGAATGATATGGAAGGAGGTGCAAACGGGAAGCTATCCCGAGGTCACGTGTGGGGCCAGGTTCCCAAAGTGCCGGCCGGCGCCTGCACTGTGCGCCTCAGCTTTGCAGGGATGGAGTGAGGCGCGTCTCCCAAAATCTTTTGGAAGCTTCAACCAAGCCCGTCCGACGCCAATCAACCCCCATCGAAGCCCGCGAATTCATTGCGACCACAACGCCATTCCCGAACGCTCCGCTACACTAATTTCAGACGAAAGCCTTGATACGCGAATAATTGACCCCCGGCAACCGACGCCCCCGCCGCGACGATGGTCCAGATCAGTGAGGTTAAGGGAAACAGTCGCGAGAACCGCACTGCTGCCCACACCCACATTAAGGGCCTAGGATTGAAGCAAGATGGCACGGCAGAGAAGCAAGCGTCTGGTTTCGTCGGCCAAACCACAGCAAGAGAGGTCAGCGGTATCCCTCGTGGTTGCGCAGCGTAATTACTGACAGATCTGCCGAATTTTAGGCATGCGGTATCGTAGTCGATCTCATTCGCGCTCACAAGATGGCCGGTCGCGGTGTTCTGCTCGCCGGTGGACCTGGAACAGGAAAGACGGCCCTTGCGCTTGCCATCAGCCAAGAGCTCGGAACCAAGATCCCCTTCTGCCCGATTGTTGGCAGCGAAATCTACTCGACAGAAGTAAAGAAGACCGAGGTGTTGATGGAGAACTTCCGCCGCGCAATCGGCCTGAAGGTCCGGGAAACGAAGGAGGTCTACGAGGGCGAGGTGACAGAGCTCACTCCCGAGGAGGCTGAGAACCCTCTGGGCGGATACGGCAAGACCATCAGCACACTCCTGATCGGCCTGAAGAGCGCGAAGGGGCAGAAGAAGCTGCGGTTGGACCCAAGCATATACGAGGCCATCCAGAAGGAGAGAGTTTCGGTGGGAGACGTCATCTATATTGAGGCAAACACTGGTGCCTGCAAGCGCGTGGGAAGATCAGATGCCTATGCGACCGAGTTTGATCTGGAGGCCGAGGAGTACGTGCCCATCCCGAAGGGTGAGGTGCACAAGAAGAAGGAGATCGTGCAGGACGTTACTCTTCATGACCTCGACGTCGCCAACGCTCGGCCCCAAGGTGGTCAAGATATTATGAGCATGATGGGACAGCTGATGAAGCCCAAGATGACCGAGATCACGGACAAGCTGCGCGGCGAGATCAACAAGGTGGTGAGTAAGTACATCGACCAGGGCGTTGCAGAGCTTGTCCCTGGCGTGCTTTTCATCGATGAGGTAAGCGGAACTTTCATGTCCTGTCTGACGCGAACTGAGACCGGTGGATTAATCTTCAACAACAGGCGCACATGCTCGATGTCGAGTGTTTCACGTACCTGAACCGGGCCCTGGAATCGAACATCTCCCCGATTGTGGTGCTGGCATCCAACAGAGGAATGGCCACCCTTCGCGGTACGGACGACATCGTCGCGGCGCACGGCATCCCTACCGACTTTTTGACTCGTCTTCTCATCGTTCCCACGACGCCCTACCAGCTGGACGAGATCAAGCGGATTGTTCGCATCAGAGCCACGACCGAGGGTGTGCCCATCACTGATGCCGCCCTGGACAAGATTGCGGAACACGGCGTTCGCATCAGCCTGCGGTACTGCCTGCAACTGCTGACACCCGCCAGGTAAGTGAAGAAATGATCGGTTTCTTGTTCTGCTGGCTTCCCACCGCTTTCTCTTACTCATCCCCATGCGGTTTCCCCTCTCTCTTGAATCGTGGATCGACCGGCTAGTGTGAGACATCCGGGCTAACCCCAATGAAAGCATTCTTTCCAAGGCAAACGGCCGCAGCCAAATCGATGTCCAGGACGTGGCTGAGTGCGAGGACCTCTTCCTGGACTCGCGGCGCAGCGCCAGCCTTCTGGGCAGCGAAAACGGACGAGGTTACATCTCGTGAGAGGAGTCAACAGAGGCATGCTTGTTCGGTAGGATAGAGAGTGAGAGGTCACGGTCCCCCGTTTAGTTTCTCGGATGAAGGATGGCGACGGCGTTGTAAAAGAACTTGTCACATTATCGAAGACCAGAACAGGTAATTCACGGCGTTTTATTTGCTGTGATAATTTACGATGATGATATTCCGTGGGAGATACCGGTCAGTTGTCTCAGTCGGGTCCGTGAGAACCAAGTTGTGTTGTTGAGTTTCCAAGGGGCGAGCAAACGAATGCCGGGTGACATGTCCTCTGGGCCACGAGCGACGAGTGATTTCCCGTTGGTTCCCATTTCCTTGTCTCGAGTTGGCCCAGACCCCCCGAGAAGCGAAAGTGGGTGGGCGAGAGAGAGCAACGCTGTTTGCAAAACAAAAGCCCAGATGAGGAAAAAAAAGTAGGGCCGCCCTCCCGATTATAAGACATTCGCAGGCCGCGAACCAGAAAAACAATACCTAACGAGAGACATCCACGCACCGCCCGATGCCGATGCCGCCTTTACCCCAACCAGAGGCAATTGGCAATGAGGGGACTTGTAGGTAGCCAGCCCTTCACCGCGTCTTCAGTCTCCCCGTTCTGAACCCTGGTCCCACATCTCATCCCATGGTACTCTGGCGCTCATCATCAGAGACATCACCAACGCCAAACGCATTGTGTCCTTGCCGATCAAATTTTAAAAACATTTCCAAGAAGACAGGAAGAAGAACCCACTGGAACGAAGAATTATGGTAAACGCCTGGGGGGGTTCTCGCCTTCTTCCCTTTCATCACGTGGGAGCTGATGTTTCTCCCAGCCTAGACCACTTTCGGCCAGGGGTGGTTGTGTTGGTTCGACGTACATCCCATTGTCTTTGTTCTTTTGGTGGGAGCGCGGGTTTTGATTGAACATTCCAACCGACCTACTTGCATTCATTCCCCTTCTTTCACTTATTCTTTCCCTTGCACTGTTCTCCGCCTGGCCCTGGCACACCACACCCATACCACACCACCACCGCGGACAAGCAAGGTCATTGTTTTTGACGTCTCACAGGGCCATCGGTCTGCAGTCAGTATGCATGCTTTCCTTTGAGGAGAGGCTGGCTGATGGCAGGGGATCTCGGCGCCGTTAGGTGAGGAAAAGCAGGGGGCGAAGGAGGAAAAGAAGGTAGCCGCGCTCGCCGCGGTAGATGTTGCAGTAGTACCATCATTTAGTAGTTCGCCGACTCAGAAACATCGTCTGGTAGGGGACCAGATAGAGAGAGAGAGAGGAGGAGGAGGGCGTACGTGCGGTGTTGCCAAGCCTTTTCTGAATTGCAGACGACATGAAAGGATGAACTTCTTAAAATAACACCCAAGAATAAGGCTGCTTTGAGTGCTGCATCTCCCTCGTCTGTATCTCTCGACCTGTATAATTTCCCCATTCTCAACCTTTAAGCATGACCTGGGCAGGGTAGTAGGGACGGGGGGTAAGAATTCTTCAAAGCCCGTGGCCTTGCGCGCGGTGTGTCGCTCTGGTCACCCAACATCTCATTATCCATCTTTCCTCGCCTCGTCGCCGCTGCCGCCGCGTCTTTCTCTCCGCCTTCTTGTCCTCCGCTCTGCAACTTCGGACTTGGACCCGAAGGGTACCTATCATTTTATTCTCCCGAGTCGTAAGAAAGGGGCCAAAACGCATCTGCCCATCTGCTTTTTCCCAGTTGCGAACGGAAAGCACTGGTGGACAGAGTGAGTTGAGTCGTCCCGGCCACGGAACAAACGCTTCCTCACAAAGGAGCTCTACCCTCATCTGCAACAGCTTGGGTGCCGGCACATTCCCGAGACATTTCCCCAAAGCCATCGCTTTCCTCTCTCGTCCGTTCGTACGCTGTCTGTTC